GCACTGATCTGAAGCCAGGAGGCAGGAGCTTCTTCTGGGTCTCCCACTGCAGGTGGCAGCTTTACCCACTATGCCAGAGTGCCAGCCCAGCATATGAGTTTAAAACTCTACATTAAAAGAGAAGCAAGAGAATTGTGAACAGAAAAATGCAGATGATAGTTTCTTTGGGTGGAGTAGTTGGATGAAGGAAATGTATAGTTATCTGAAAATTGTGGAGCCATAAAGGAGATACTTTCAAGAATCTGGCCTTCATTTTGGATAGTATGATCATAAAAGTTTATTATATTAAAATGAACTATTACATAAATTTTAGTAATACATAAGTACAAAAAGGGAGGACACAAGCAGACCAGTTCGATCAATCCAATTCTAAGCATCTGAAATCCCTTAAGATTGCAAATGTGCTGTGTCAATATTAATTATTTAAACTTTTTAGAAAACCTAAATGAATTTTATTGGCATATCCTAGCACTAATATCTGTTCAGCATTTCTTCAACATACATTACTGTTACCCTGATATTTAAAAATTTATTAATTTGGGGGGTAAACCAGCAGAAGGAAGACATTTCTGTCTCTCTGCCTATAACTCTACCTGTCAAAAAAATAAATAAAAATAAATAAAAATTTTTTAGAGATATAAGGAGACTTACCTTTCTCCTCAGCTGCTATATACTGTTGTTTTTTTTTTTTTATAGGCAGAATTAGACAGTGAGAGACAGAGAGAAGGGTCTTTCTTTTCCATTGTTTCACCCCCCAAATGGCCACCACAGCCGGCGTGCTGTGCTGATCCGAAGCCAGGAACGAGATGCTTCCTCTGGTCTCCCATGTGGGTGCAGGGCCCAAGCACTTGGGCCATTCTCCACTGCCTTCTTGGGCCACAGCAGAGAGCTGGACTGGAAGAGGAGCAACCAGGACAGAATCCGGTGCCCCAACCGGGACTAGAACCTGGGGTGCTGGCACTGCAGGCGGAGGATTAGCCAAGTGAGCTGTGGCGCTGGCCATATATACTGTTAATATGTTTAGAAACAACAGAGTCTTGTCTTGAATGTTCAAATCTCTACAGAAATGCTTGTAGGTAGAGTTAACAGCTGATTGTAATTTTCTGGGGTTCTAAGGTAGAGTGAAGAATGGAGCAAGTGATCTAAGTGCAGAGAAAGGGCAAAATCTTTGTTTCAAGGAATACAGGGTAGAAGTAGCTGTTCAATGTACCAAATAGCCAAAACAGATGAAAGTCAGAATTAGAAATTATGTTATTATCCTTCACTGTTTGGATCCCATTTATTGCTCTAAAAACCTAGATCTATAATCTTTGTTCCTAGCCTAACCTACAGCTTTTTAAGCAAGTAAAAGTTGCCCGTCTCAAAAGAACGGAAAATGTGGTTGTGAATTTGAAATTACATGCTTCTCTGGACATGACTAAACTTTATACTATTATGAAGACATATTTTCCCAAGAATTCCACACAGCAATCATTAGAGTTCTCCATTTGCTACCATTTAATGGAAATAACTGTAGTAGTGATCTAATCTATTATTTAACCCTCAGATGTCATGCAGATTTTCTTTCTGTCCTGAAACCCTTGGCCGTGTTTCTTGCTTGAGGGACAGTAGAGTATAAACACTGAAGGTGAAAATTGAGGAGTCAAGGTAGACATGGGTTCATGTTTATCTATGCCATTTATCTATTTGATATCTACCTTTTCTTTTTTTAAGACTTATTTACTTACTTGGAATTCAAAATTATAGAAAGAGAGGGAGAGACAGAGGAGAGAGAGGGAGAAAGAGAGAGACAGAGACAGAAATCCTCCATCTGCTGATTCCCTCCCCAGATGACTACAGTGGCCAGAACTGAGCCAGGCTGAATCTAGGAGCCAGGAACTTCACCCAGGCCTCCCACATGGGTGGCCAGGGCCCAAGCACTTAACCACCTTCTGCTGCTTTCCCAGGAAATTAGCAGGCAGCTGGATCAGAATTGGAGCGGTTCAGACTTGACCCAGTGCTCACATGGACACCAGTATCACAGCCAGTAGCTGAACCTACTACGCCACAACACTGGCTCCAATATCTATCTTATGTACCTTTTTTTTCCTTAGTATTTTATCACAATAGTAATGACAGTAAATATTTGATAGTTTTGCATATATATGGGATTGGATGAAGTAATATATATAGAGAGCTCTCAGCAGAGTAACAAATCAGAATGCTACAGTTAATAAAAAACATTTAGCAATAATTTTGTTTCAGAAAAATATTTATGCAAGGATATTGTATGCTATACATTTGTCCTGAACTCTGAAAGACCAATTTTCTATCTGAGAGAGATTGAACTCAAGGTGCTCTTCACTTTCAAAAATATCCTATAGAAACATTCTCAATGAACTTCTGTGTGTTTGGAAATCTATACTTCAAACTGAAAATGATTAAAAGAAGAATGGAGGAAAACATTTGTTTTTATTTCTTGAAGGATATTAACAGTGCTGAGTGTAACTCTGTGATCCTCTTCACTAATACTCTGACTACTCCCATCAAAGCAGATGCAAATGTGCTGTACTGGGGTTGGTGATTCACTGAGATCACTTTTGCATCCATTTGAAAGTCACTTCTTCTTATCTCTGTATTTTTCCTGGTGCAATTTTGGAAAGGTATTTGTATGTTTCACTCCTCCTCTTCAGATGAAAACAAAACAAAGCCAAAACTCAACTGCATAATACAAACACTCCCCATTCAAACAAAATTCAGAATAAGCACTTATGTAGCATGATCTAATCGTAAACTTTTCTTCCGTAGCAGATACTTTGGAAGATACTAATTCTAAAGAAAAACAGTACTGGTTAAAGGTTAACAAACTCTAAAAAAGTTAGGATGGTGGGTAATTCTAGAGAATATTACCATATTATCATCATTAAGCTAAGATCCGGATTGTTCTACCCTCTAATTGTTTGCTTACAAGAGAAAAATTGAAGCATTCATAATTATTTATGCTTTTAATTAGTATTTCTTTTTTTTGCCTTTTCCCATTTTTTAGAACTTTTATTTAGTAAATATAATTTTCGAAAGTACAGTTTATGGATTACAATGACTTTTCCCACCATAACTTCCCCTTCCACCCACACCCCTCCCATCTCCCATTCCCTCTCCCATTCCATTCACATTAAGATTCATTTTCAATTATCTTTATATACAGAAGATTGATTTAGTATATATTAAGTAAAGATTTCATCAGTTTGCACCCACACAGAACATAAAGTGTGAAATACTTTTTGAGTACTAGTTATAACATTACTTCACATTGAACAACACATTAAGGACAGAGATTCCACATGAGGAGTAAGTACACAGTGACTCCTGTTGTTGACTTAACAATTTGACACTCTTGTTTATGGCATCAGAAATCTCCTTAGGCTCTAGTCGTGAGTTTCCAAGGCTATGGAAGCCTCTTGAATTTGCTGACTTCGATCTTATTTAGACAAGGTCATAGTCAGAGTGGAAGTTCTCTCCTCCCTTCAGAGAAAGGTACCTCCTTCTTTGATGGCCCGTTCTTTCTACTGGGATCTCGCTATCAGAGACCTTTCATGTAGGTCTTCTTTTTTCTTTTTTCTTTTTCTTTTTTCTTTTTTTTTTTTTTTTTGTCAGTGTCTTGGCTTCCATGCCTGAAATACGCTCATGGGCTTTTCAGCCAGATCCGAGTGCTTTAAGAGCTGATTCTGAGGCCAGAGTGCTGTTTAGGACATCTGCCATTCTATGAGTCTGCTGTGAATCCCACTTCCCATGTTAGATTGTTCTCTCCCTTTTTTATTCTATCAGTTAGTATTCACAGACACTAGTCTTGTTTATGTGATCCCTTTGACTCTTAGACCTATCAGTGTGATCAGTTGTGAATTGAAATTGATCACTTGGACTACTGAGATGGCACTGGTACATGACACCTTGATGGGATTGTATTGGAATCCCCTGGCACATTTCTAACTCCACCATTTGGGGCAAGTCCGATTGAGCATGTCCCAAATTGTATTTCTAAAAGATAAACAACTTATGTCAAATAGAAATGTTTGCATTTACACTTACAGATAGTTTTTAAAAATGTATACTTTAACGGGAGCCAGCACCATGGCTCACTTGGTTAATCTTCCACCTGTGGTGCTGGCATCCCATATGGGCACCGGGTTCTAGTTCTGGTCGCTCCTCTTCCAGTCCAGCTCTCTGCTGTGGCCCAGGACGGCAGTGGAGGATGGCCCAAGTGCTTGGGCTCCTGCACCCGCATGGGAGACCAGGAAGAAGCACCTGGCTCCTGGCTTCGGATCAGTGCAGCGCGCCAGCCGTGGTGGCCATTTGGGGGGTGAACCAACGGAAGGAAGACCTTTCTCTCTGTCTCTCTCTCTCTCACTGTCTTATAACTAAAAATAAAAGAAAAAAATATATACTTTAAAAACAAATAAATGATCAATTCAAAATATCCGAACAGTAATAAAATACCACCAGGGCTGGTGCTGTGGCTTAGCGGATAAAGCCGCTGCCTACAGTGCCAGCATCCTATATGGGCGCCAGTTCAACTCCCGGCTGCTCCACTTCTGATCCAGCTTTCTGCTATGGCTTGGGAAAGCAGCAGAGGATGGCCCAAATCCTTGGGCCCCTATACTCGTGTAGGAGACCCGGAGGCTTCAGATTGACACAACTTTGACCATTTTGGCCAGTTCGGGAGTGAACCAGTGGATGGAAGGCGCTCTCTCTCTCTCTCTCTCTCTCTCTCTCTTTCTGCTTCTCCTTCTCTCTGTGTGTAACTCTGACTTTTAAATAAATAAGTAAATCTTTAAAAAAATAAAATACCACCAATTCTTAGAGAGCATGTCATTGGACAAGTAACAAAATACATTCATTATACATTATTTTATAAAGTCTCAAAGGGAAAGGTTATATTCATACAATTCAGACTACCTACTTTATTTTACAAAATAATTCCTATTGGAAAATAATTATCCTTTTTTTTTTTTTCATATGAGGAGATTATCAAGAGAGAAGCAGCTTTCTAAACTCATCCTGAAATTGAAGAAGAGATCCTGAGTCTGTATGAGCACCACTTGTTTCATAGATCATGAGTTGGTCATGGTTGATATATTCATATGACTAGACTATATCAGTAATATTTTTAGATCTTATTCCCGTTTTTACTAGTGTTTAATTAAACAAATCTCATTGCTAGTTAGGACTAGGCATATTAATGTTACCCTTCTTATTTCAGTCAAAACATCCTTTAATCAATTCAATGATAGGCTTTTCTGTGGAACAGGACCTTCTGGTTCCCCAAGACACAGTTATTCCACAGTCCAATTAAACTCTGCAGTTATGTTTTCATGTGCATCTAGGTAGCCTATTTTTTAACCTTCCTAAACTGGGATCTCTAAATCTTGGAACTATTGACATTTTGGATCAAATAACTCGAAAGTATGTGTGTGGGGAGCTGGCAGAGGGCAGAAGGTAGAGGTTCATTGTTTTGCAACATTCCCGGCCTTTCTCCACAAAATATCTGTAGCACTCCCTCCACCAGTCACAATCAATAATGCCTCTAATTCTTATGAAATACACCCTGAGAGGCAAAATTGATCCAAATTAAGAACCACTGTTCTGGGGGCTGGCACTGTGGCATAGTGGGTTAAGCATCCACCTGTGGCACTGGCATCCTATATGGCTCTGGTTTGAGTCCCGACTACTCCTCTTCTGACCCAGTTCTCTGCTATGGCCTGGGAAAGCAGTAGAAAAAGGCCCAAGTACTTGGGCCCCTGTGCTTGTGTAGGAAATCCATAAAAAGCTCCTGGCTTAGGATTGGCTCAACTCCAGCTGTTTGGAGAGTAGACCAACAGATAGAAGACCTCTCCCTCTCTGTAACTATGCTTCTCAAGTAAATAAAAATAAGTAAATCTTGAAAAAAATCATTGTTCTCACCCTTCACTTCATTGAAAATCTTGCATTCGTACCCTTTTATACCATATAAAAAGCCTTATATATCTTTAAAATGTATAGGATATTATTCTAACACATGGTGACTGATTATCAGTTATGCCTTTGCTAGGTGCCTCAAGTAATAATATGTGGTTGGGTTCAGTAAGTGTGGATCTAAAAATATAAGATTTCATCCTCAATAGTTACAATATTGACATTGATTATGGAGAATAGTTACTGTGGTCCCCCTATGAAGGACTTTGAAGTATCAACCTTCAAACACAACCCTTAGACAACTGAAATTTCTACCTCATGAAGTAGCAGATTTCTGAAATAAAAACAACACCCCATCCTCACCCTAAGGAAATGAGTTTTAAAATCTTACCTGAAGAATATGTGCCACAAACCATAATTTACAATTATTGCAAGATCATGTCCTAGCCTTTGCTTTGTTGAAGTTTCTGTTTAAAGGAGAATGAGCAAGGCCTTTAAATATTTAAGATGTCTCTAAAAGAAGGAACTGGAGAGACAGAATTCGCAACTATAAAAGCCTTAGGCTGATTTAAGTCAGAGCTGAGGAAGCATTTTATTTCCTGTTTGAAGTTCTGATTTTTTTCTCCTAATTTTATTGTTTTTAGGCCGATATCCTTGGACTTCATATCATGTAAGTCCCTATTTACTAATACTATACTCAATTTTTAATCACCCTTTTTTCTATAGTATATCATCACTGACAGTTTCTTTTCTCTCACCTTTCTAGCCTTAGAAATGTGATAATAGATCTAGTATTCTGTCAGAGTAGGAGATAAATTATATATATATATATATATAATATAAATATATTAAACTAACCCACTATACATGTACAATATAAATTACTTTTATTGCTTTTAATATAATGATTAACATAGTATGTCATTTACATCAGGAATTATGTTATATGTTAGGAACAAACAAAAATGTCATGAACAAATATGGGACTTTACTTTGATAGGCTACTTACTAAATCATAAGTTTGAGCATTTTGTAGCCTTGTTGATCCATTAAATAACAGAGAAAAGTAAAAAAAAAAAAGACAAACATATTTATACTATGCAAGGTTATGCATACTAATTTCACATACAAGTGCAAAACAACTGCATGTACTAAGTTTTCAAGAAGTCTTCCATTTCCAGTATCTTCTACAATGAAGCTAACATTTTCACAAGCTGCTGAACTAACTTTTTTTTTAAGATTTTATTTTATTTTAGATGTAGAGTTACAGTGAGAGGGAGAGACAGAGATAAAGGTCTTCCATTTGCAGGTTCCCTCCACAAGTGTCTGCAGTGGCTAGAGCTGAGCCAATCCTGAGCCAGCAGTTTCATCTGGGTCTCCCACATGGGTGCAGGGGCCAAAGCGTTTGGGCCATTTTCCATTGCTCTCCTAGGCCATAGCAGAGAGCTGGATTGGAAGCAGAGCAGCCAGGGCTTGAATCAGCACCCATATGGGATGCCAGCACTGCAGGCAGAGGATTAACATACTGCGCCACAGCATCAGCCCCTGTACTAACTTTTTTTTTTTTTTTATCTTTTATTTAATGAATATAAATTTCCAAAGTACGACTCATGGGTTACAATGGCTTCCCCCCCCATACCGTCCCTCCCACCAACAACCCTCCCCTTTCCCACTCCCTCTCCCCTTCCATTCACATCAAGATTCATTTTCGATTATCTTAATATACAGAAGATCAGCTTTGTACTAACTTTTTTTTAAAAAATATTTATTTATTTGAAAGAGTTACACACACACACACACACACACACACACAGGTCTTCCATCTGTTGGCTTACTCCCCAGTTGGCCACAATGACCGGAGCTGTGCCAGTCCGATGCCAGGAGCCAGGATCTTCTTCCAGGTCTCTCAGGCAGGTGCAGGGGGGCCCAAGGAATTGGGCCATCTTCTAATGCTTTCTTAGGCCATAACAGAGAGCTGTATCAGAAGTGGAGCAGCTGGGACTAGAACCAGTGCCCATATGGGTTGCCAGCACTGTAGGTGGTGGCTTTACCCACTATACCACAGCGCTGGCCCCTTGTACTAACTTTTGATTGAAAATTAGTTTGTAATAATTTTTGAGAAAGTATCTTGCACTAGTACCAGCATTTTTGATTACCAAAGCAAAAACTGAGGGCTGAAACTGTCAAATCATAGCAAATGATTCAACCTTTTTTTTTTTTTTTTTTTTTTTTTTTTTACTGTATTGCTTACCATCAACACACATTTCAAAATTTACCCAGTATTGTTGCCTTTTGGCGTTGGCACCAGTCGTAAAGTGATGATATTTCAAAGAAAACTGAAATGCAAAGGATGTTATGTTGCATTTACTTTAAGGTTCATTCATTTTGACTTTTACATGACTTGTTAGACATTAGCCTCCCTGTTTTGAAAAGGCCAAGCACATCAGGGTTAGTGCGGAGGGTGAACACCATTAGTTTGCACTTTATCATTGTCATCCAGCTACTGAGTGCTTGCATTTTACACAGGTAACGGGAGATGTCAGAGCTATTTCAACTGTTACACAAGTCAAAATAAACTGAGGAGTCAGGGTTTCTGATTTTAAGTGAGATTTTTATCTTCTAAGCCCTTAAATAATCTACATTCAATTTTCAATATAGTAGTATTTGAAATATAGAATATAGTAATTATTGAGTGCATTTTGTTAACTTATTAATGAACTCTATGGTTCAGAACTTATTATTTTAAAACATAATAGTTATAGAAGATGTGTTTAAACTGTACATCAAATGTTTTTTTAAATTAGATTTTAACCAAGATTAAACAGTTCGCAATGTGTTGCCATACATTTTTTACATTAACTCATGGGCACATAAGATTTCTGAAACATAGAGTTGTTCACTCAATTTTATGTGGAATTCACTGGTTTCTGTCTGTGTGTAGCCTAACAGAATTTAGCAGCCATTTGGGGGGTGAACCAACGGAAGGAAGACCTTGAAAAAAACTGAACTTTTCTAAATTATTAGTAAATTAATAATTTTATGTATTGAATTTATATATTTATGCACATCCTTCAAAATGCATTTGTACATATTATTTTTTCCTGATTTTCTATTTTAAAGTGAGGATCACTTGATACATTTGGACTGATATTACCATTTCCATTTCAACAAGAATGATTCAAGATCAGAAGAAACTAAGTGGCTTAGCAAAGATTCTGTGGCTTTTTAAAATCAATAACTTATTGAGATATATAATACTGTGAACGTAATGTGGATCTACCACACAGAATGTTACTGGTAGAATGTTACTGAAATCCCGTATGTCTCTTTCTGTCTTTGCTGTGACACTTTACAATGGCTACTCATCTCTAACTGTACCATTTTTTAAAAGACCTGCTGTGCTCTAATGAAGCTTTAAGCATTTTCTTTGCTGCACTTGGATGTTAAGCATTGTGGAGGGAGGCTTTGCAAGAGCTTTGCAGGAGGAAGGGGCTTATCTTCCTGATCCCTGCGTTGCCTTTGACTTTTTTTTTTTTTTTTTTGGACAGGCAGAGTGGATAGTGAGAGAGAGAGACAGAGAGAAAGGTCTTCCTTTTGCCTTTGGTTCACCCTCCAATGGCCGCCACGGCTGGCGCGCTGCGACCAGCACACCGCGCTAATCCGAAGGCAGGAGCCAGGTGCTTCTCCTGGTCTCCCATGGGGTGCAGGGCCCAAGCACTTGGGCCATCCTCCACTTCACTCCCGGGGCCACAGCAGAGAGCTGGACTGGAAGAGGGGCAACCGGGACAGAATCCGGCGCCCCAACCGGGACTAGAACCCGGTGTGCCGGCACCGCTAGGTGGAGGATTAGCCTATTGAGCCACGGCGCTGGCCGCCTTTGACTTTTTTTTTTAAAGATTTATTTTATTTATTTGAAAGAAAGAGTTACAGAGAGAGGTAGAGACAAAGAGAGAGGTCTTCTATCTGTTGGTTCACTCCCCAGATGGCCACAACTGCTGGAGCTGTGCCAATCTGAAGCCAGGAGCCAGAAGCTTCTTCCGAGTCTCCCATGTGGATGCAGGGGCTCAAGGATTTGGGCCATCTTCTACTGCTATCCCAGGCCACAGCAGAGAGCTGGATCAGAAGAGGAGCAGCCAAGACTAGAACCGGTGCCCATATGGGATGCGAACACTTCATGCCAGGGCTTTAACCCGCTGTGCCACAGCACAGACCCCTCTATATCATTCTTATAATGCATTTTGGTATTAAGAAAGATGTTAAAGTTTAGTATTTTCCTGAGTGATGCACTGAAGTTTAGCACCTTTCTGCACATTTGTTGTAAACTTGGCTTCTTAATTTGTAAAATGCTTGTTTTAAGGGTTTTACCTAAGTTTTTATTGGTTTATCTGGCTTCTAAGGAGTTTTCTTCATATAAAATTTCGATAAAAGTCCTGTATCAGCTATATGTATTGCAAATAAAGTTTTCTGTTCTATAGCTTTTCATTTTTAAATGTCTTTTGAAAAAGGCAAAATTATGACCATAATTTTAACATCACTGAGTTTATTAATATTTTTCTTTGTGGTTACTGCTTTTTGTGTTTTGTTTAAGAAATCCCTTCCTGTCAAGGGCATTAATATATTATTCCCTATTATCTTTTAAAAGCTTTATGGCTTTGCCTTTCACATTTAGGTTTTTAATCTACCTGGAATTGATTTTTTTGTACAGCATGAATGCTTTTGCTATTATGCCATCATTTCTAAAAATCAAATGTACTCAAGGTCACCATTACCATTTAGTTTATTCAGCTACAGTTGTGGGAGTGCTAGCATGATGTAGAATGATGCTGAGTGAAGTGGGACAGTCTGTTCTTTTTAAGAAACCAATAATTATGCTGTTAACTGAGTATCAGATAAAATGTAAGTGTTTTATGTATATAACCTGAAAAAAAAAACCCTCATTTTTATAAGAAATCAATTAAGGGTTAAAGAGATTAAGGAAGTTGGCTAAGGTTACATAGTAGTATAAATTGAAAAGGATTTAACCTTTCACAATTTAATCCAAAAGCTTCTGCTATTTATATCTATCTAAATATATAGTTTTTGTGTTGACCCATTATTTTTTTTCTTTTCCATGTCTTTAATATGAAATTTGGATTTTCCTAGAATTATTAACCATCTTTGAGTCCTACTCTACGCGTTGCTTATACTCAAAGTCCCCTCACTTTCCTTCTGTTCTCTAGTGTTGTTTTCAAATAGTCCCATTTGAAGAGTTGTGCTTATTTTTCTGTTTACTTCATATTATCATTGAACAAAAAAGTGGTTTATTCAAGAATTATAGAAAGTGGGCAATTTTGTAGAATTTAAATGCTTATTATAAATGCAGAGTCTCTAGAACCTGGATCAGAATTGGGTAGTTTTGTGTGTTGGAATCATTGAAGTTTCTGCCAGGTTTCCATATAATCCAAAATGGGAGTTGCTGAACAAAGAAGGCAAGATTTTAAGTCCCCCATTCCACACAAACACCTCACATCAGCTTTAGCCAAAGACAGTATGGTTTATGTGATGAGGTTTTTGGACTACCATACATAATTTCATTTGAATGAAAGTTTTTTATTTGAAACATATCTGAAAATACTCATTGTGTTGAATAATTTAACATCTAATATTGTGCCCTCAACTCTTCAATTATATAAAAATATGATTATAAAATCATCTATGGCAGAAAATTAATAAGATAATTTAGTAAAATCAATACAAAAACAATTTCATTTTTATATTCGTAATAGTCAGAAAATGATATAAAAACATTTTTAAGAGCATCATAAAACAAAAATGCTTCAAAAGATATTTTTGAAAAGATGTGAAAGATCTCTACTTAAAACTACAAATAACATCTGTGAGAGATAGAAGAAAGTATTAATAAGTTTAGAAATATATTCAGAAGTTGAAAAACTCAGTATTGCTAAGATGTATGTTCTCAGCAAAGTTTTTTCAACCCAAAATTATTTCAGCATTTAAAATTCTTTCTGGATATTTTATTGTGGCTGGATCTTCTGATAATTCTTTGTTGTTTTTATTTCTCTAGTGTCCTCAAGCTTTATATATGTTCTTGTGTATGTATGTGTATCCATGTTCTCACCTGTACCAAAATACCTCCATCTTGGTGGTGTTAACATTGGGGGCTGGAGAATTCTGTTTTTGATGATTGTTCTGTGCATTTCATTTACAGTAGTATCACTGTCCTCTTTCCACTAGTTTTAGTAGCACTCTTGTCCCCCTTTTGATGAACAAAATGTGTCCAATTACTGCCAAATATTTGTTAGGTGGTAAATTTGCCCTATTTGAGAACTGACCCAATACAGTATTTCCTGAAGTAGAGAACTGATCTTCAAATAGTTATTTTCTTCTCCTCCTTTCCCTTTTTGCTTTCAGACATCATCTCCCATCCTGAAGCTTCCAACAATGTTATTATATATTGAATCACTAATAATTATTACACTCCTCTAAATCATTAATTTATTTCCTATTAATTATAGAATATATTCAAAATTTCTTTTTTTCATTTAAAATTTCCTTACTATTTTTGAGATAAAATATTTTTCATTTAAATTATAATCAAAGAGTTGATTCTCCACTAAACAAAGAGTTCAACACAATAAAAGCACCATAGTGCAGCAAGGAAATAGGCAAGGACTACTAATGATAATCGAATGAAAAGATGCTCAACTTCACTCATATAAAGTATATTTTAAAATACTCACAATGGCCGACGCTGCAGCTCAATAGGCTAACCCTCCACCTAGTGGCGCCGGCACTCGGGATTCTAGTCACAGTCAAGGCACTGGATTCTGTCCCAGTTGCCCCTCTTCTAGTCCAGCTCTCTGCTGTGGCCCCAGAATGAAGTGGAGGATGGCCCAGGTCCTTGGGCCCTGCACCTGCATGGGAGGCCAGGAGAAGCACCTGGCTCCCAGTTTCGGATCAGCGAGGTGCACTGGCTGCAGCCGCCATTGGAGGGTGAACCAACGGTAAAGGAAGACTTTCTCTCTCTCTCTCTCTCTCTCTCTCACTGTCCACTCTGCCTGTCAAAAAAATAAAAATAAAAATAAAAAATACTCACAAAATCATTAAAACTGTGGTAGCATTTAAATCCTCTTAATTTGTTTGATAAAGATTGACACAAAGTTTGAGAAAACATTGCATTTAAAGCAAAGCTGATACACACAGGCATTTTTTTTTTCTTAAAGTTCAATTTACTTCTCCAGTCTCTTGTCTCACCATACCTTGCTATACACAGAATATTTTTGAAACAGCACTTTTCAACATTACTCTTATTGCACACATCTGGAGCCTTACCTTGTGTCACTTCTCAATGTCTTTGTGGCCTTCTTTCCCCTTGCCTGTGAATGAGACACTTTGCCAGCCTCTCTTCACTTTCTTTATGCCCCACTCTGACTTCAGAAACTCTGTGAGTAATGTTGTGGTATTATTAAGCAGTTTCTCATGAGTGTTGGCCTGCAAACACATCTCATACCCTGCCCTGGGATTCTCTGATGTTATAGCATAAGATACTTATGGAAGTTTTTTTAGAACTCATGAATGAGTGAGCAGTGGTTGGTGCCTGGGTGCCATCCTGGAACAAACAGAATTATCTGTACATGTCTCCTCTTTTTCATCTGCTGGTTGGATAATTTGAAAATATTTTACAAAGTTCTTCAGAAAGTTCCACGTGATCGAGTACCATTATTTTTTTTTATCTTGGTGAGCAAATTGACTGTACTACTTATTTTAAATTTCCGTCTTTGCTTGTTTGGGTCCTGCAGTTTGCTTTCTCTGATTAGAATGATTTCTCCCAATAAATTATCTGTACACAAATTTTGACTACAGGCTCTGCTTTCAGGGAATCTCAGATTATAATAACCTGGTTAACTCTTGCCCATCCTTTAAGACTGTTGTCTAGATATAATTACTTCTAAAAATATTTGTTCGCCTCTCCCCTTCCTACCTGTTTCATTATTACTCCTTCTAGTGCCACTGATCTCACCATACCTTTTTCTTAGTATTTGAAAAACTGCTTAAGAACTGGACTTATATCATAATTGTCTTTGTGTCTGTTAAACAGTTAAAAATAAGTAAATTAAATAAATAAATAATAAAAAATAAGTAAGTTAAAAATAAGTAAATAATGATATACCTAGTTGGTCATGATGATATATTCAATATCTTGAAGAAAACAATCAACTATATAATTAAATAATAAAAATACTGGTTTAATTATTTTGTCCTCTGACAATAATTTGGAAGGATAAATCTGTTCTCTGATAACCTCTTTTCTCATATTTTGTGCTCATTCTTTAGACATTACTATCTCATTGCTACCTGTTCCTCTCAAATATAACTATACCTCAAAACTTGGAGCAATATTTTAATTACTAAATCCAGTGACTTTCTCTGTCTTCCTCTTCCTTAGTCTCCCTGAAGAATGATATTTTTGACAGTTTCCTCTTTCTGGAAACTCTTGGCTTCCAGGATGTTGCTGTTTTCTTTTTTCCTTTTTGATTATTCTCTCTCAATTTCCGTTAATATCACCATTCCCCTCCTTACTCTTATTTAATTCATTTTCCCTATTTTCACTCATTTATCTTTCTTTTGTAACTCTATACATCATGTCTAGGCTGGCACTTAAATACTGGCAACTTTATTTTTAATTTTTAAAAAATTATTTATACATTTTACTTATTTGAAAGGTAGGAAGAAAGAGAGAGAGTGTGTGAATGGTCTGTCAACAGTTGGTTCACTCCTCAAGTACCTGCAATGACCAGGGCTGGAATAGGCTAATGTCAGGAGCTGGGAACTCAATCCAGGTATCCTGTGTGGGTGGCAGGAACTCAGTCACTAAGGACTAAGGAAGAGGAAGACAGAGAAAGTCACTGGATTTAGTAATTAAAATAGGGATCACCTTTTGCCTCCCAGAGTGTGCATTATTAGGAAGCGGGAATTGAGAGCAAAGTACGTACTCAAACTTAGTCATTCCAATATTACATGCTAATGTCCCATGTGGCAGCTTAACAGCTGTGTCAAATACCTGCTCCAATGCTGGCACTTTTCATTGTGGGTAGTCATTTTGTAGAATATATTATCTGAATGTTTATAGGCAATTGTAACTCATTAGGACCAAAACTTCCCATGTTATTTGTGTTTCTCAAGCAAGCTCTTTGTTTCTGAGAATTGGTTAAAGACACTAGCACATTATCAGTATCTCTTTTTCTAAATGAGTACAGTCTTTTTAGTGCCTGGTTCCAGTTCTAATCATCCCAATCTTATTCTCTGCCATCAGAGGGATTTATCTGGACAGGAAACCTGACCTTGTCATGTATCTACTTATAAGCTCCCAATTGATCATCTAAAGTATAAAGGTGATTTCTGAAATCTTTGGCATGGCATTCAGGATCTTCCATAATGAAGTTCTACCTTCCATTCTCCTCATTTCATTAATTCATCAGTTTTGCTGTGTTTGCTGTTCTTTCAGGCAATAGGATTGCCTGTTTGATCAAAACCTACACAGTCCCTTTCTTAGATCTTTTATTTCCCCACACTTCCTGTCTCCATTGATCACATGCTAGACTCTCCTGGTTGTTAATGTGATATACGGATAGATTGTGAAATGATTATCAATATCAAGCTAATTAACACATCTATCACTTAACGTAGTTTTCATACGTGTGTGTGTGTGTGTGTGTGTGTGTATGTGTTTGTCCCATGATTTGGCCATTAGTTGCAACCCTCTAATTTTATTTTAAAGCCTTTACTTAGAACTAGAATACTATTTCACTATGTAAATTAAGAGTCTTTCATATTCTCGGACATCTAATAAATACTTTGAAAAGATGGAAACATTGTGGGATCCCAGTTTTGCTATTAAATGTGTGATCTTGGGAAAAATATGTATTTTCTTGACTATAAAATGGTTTTAATGACATGTCACAAGATTATTTTAAAGTTTTTTTAAAGATTTATTTTATTTATTTGAAACACAGAGTTATAGAGGGAGGTAGGGAGAGTGAGAAAGAGAAAGAGGTCTTCTCTCTGCTGGTTCACTCCCCAAATGGCTGCATTGCCTGAAGCTGAGCTGATCCAATCTGATCCAAAGCCAGGAGCTTCTTCTGGGTCTCCTACATGGGTGCAGGGGTGCAAGGACTTGGGCCATCCATCACTGCTTTTCAGGTACATTAACAGGGAGTTGGATTGGAAGTAGAGCAGACAGGACTTGAACAGGCACTCATGTGGGATGCTGACACTGTGGACCAGGGCTTTTACTCGCTGTACCAGAGTGCCAGCCCCAGATTAGTTTAAGTTTTAAATGTAGCTGAAATTTATTTAAAGCTAGATAATTTTAATTTCCTGCCCATTAAATTGAATTAATCAGTGAAAAATCCATTTTAGGCAGGTGTTTTTCTAATTTTCTTTTTTAACTTTAAAATTATTATTATTAAATTCATAAAACAAAAAATTGAGATAGTATTACAAGTTCCCGCATGCCCCTCATCCCATTTCCCCTATTTTTATCTTGGTATATTTGTCATATATAATGAACCACACCCAGATTTCCATATTTTTATAATCAAAACTCCCTCTAAGTCTGACCCTGTCACACACTTCCCAGTAGCTAGTAGTCACCATTCTGGGTTCAAATTGAGTTTTTTTTTT